TTGGATTATGTTAAGCTGATATTCTTCACATAGCAGGTTGCAAAGATCTCCTGCTATCAAGTTTTCTTGTATAATTCATTTGCCATAGTCTTCAATTTTTACAAACTGGAATTTGGACGTGGGTACCTTTTGCAGATATGCTTTTTCCATTTTATCCTTGACCAAGTTTTCTAGTATAAAAAAAAAAGTATATATATTTTTCTTTTGTCAAAGTTAGAATTTTTTTAAAAAATTTTTGTTTTTCTAATTTTTTTTAAGTCAACAATTATATTATTAATTCTTTGATTAATTGACTTTTTTTTCTTGAATTTTATATATAAAAATATTAAAATTTTAGTAAAAATATAAGGTTCAATAAATTTTATTATTTTTATTTTTAATAATTTATTTTTTTAAAGATTAATATAACAATTATTATTATTTTAACATTATTATTATTTAATAGCTAAATCAGATTTATAAATTAAATTATATATAGTTATTATTATTTAAATATATTTATAAAGTTATATTTTATTATATTTAATAATATAGTACTTTATATTAATATATAATTATATATAGTATATATTATTAGTTAAAGTTGTAAGTAAAAAGAAATGATTATTTTTTTATTTTTTATTTTTTATTTATTCTTTCTAAAGTTAATAAGTAAACACAAGGTTTAAGTTCTATTTCAATCTGATAACAAGTTGAAATAATAATATTTTTCTTGAGAATAATTAAAAAAAAAGATTTTGAAACTATTTACTAATTAAATAAAGCAATAATTTTAGAAAATATGGCTTAGAAAAGAAATTAATAATAGAAAATTAATATTCTTTTTGATTAAAATCTTTAAATTCTTAAATATTCTTAAATATTTTTACTTCAATAGAAATTAAACAATCTGACTAATTACAAATGATAAGAAGTAAATATAGTAGCAATTATAAGAGACTTGGATTTTAATTTATAGTGATAACCTTTTCAATAATAAAATATATAATAGTTTTTTTTTTCTTTTATTATTATATATATATATATATATTTGTACTATTTTTTTCTTTTCTTAAAATTTTTTTATATATTTTTATATATATAGTTTTTGTAAGAAGTAATTGATACAATTTGGATTTATAGTTGTAATTATAAAAATAATCTATAGGTTTTAATCTTATTAAAAGTTTTGAATTTTAATTTTATTTATTAGGAAAATAATATATTACTTTTATAAATTATATTTAGAGATTTTTGTTATTGACAAGTATATTGGATTGAAAAGATTTATACTTTGTATATATTTTTATACTTGTAATAATTCTATGATTTAATAAATAAAATAATATTAGCCTATTTTGTAGATTTGAAAAAAATAATCATAATTATATATATATTATATTAACAAAAATATAATAGTTAAATAATATATTGTATATTATATATAAATCAGATATTTTAATTATTTTTATTAAAAAAATTAATATTAATAATTAATAGTTTTTATATATTTCTTACAATAATATAGATTGCTTATATATATTAATAATTTAATATTTATATAAATAATTATATTTCTTTTTATTTGAAAATAAATATATAAAATTTTATAAAATTTAAAAATTAATCTATATATAATATATTTATATAAATAATAAATAACTTATTATTACTTTATTTTATTAATTTTATTTGTTATATATTAAATCAAAAAGCAAACATATAAAATCTTAATTATAATTTTAAGATATATTTATATATTTGACAACAATATTTTTATATACTTAATTAATTAGATATTATTTAAAATTTTATAAATTGAATAATTAATAAAAGTTTAAATAAAAAATTAATTTTTTAATCTTGTATTAAACTTTTTTAAGCAAAAAAAAAAAACATGTATTATTATTAGTCTTATAATTATAATATTATTTGTATTGAATAATTAATTATAATAAATAAAAAATATTTATTTTTGATATTGAATCCTTAAAATAATTTTATAAATAAATATATTTATATTTATTTTATTTTTTAAAATTAATTAATTATTAAAAATTTTTTTATTATAATCTTTATATCAAAAATCAAAAAAATTTTTTTTAAAAAATATTCTTTAAATTATGTTTTTAAATATTTTATTTAAATATAAACTATTTATTTACTTTTTAATATTTATTTTGTTTAAAGTTATTATTTATATTAATAAAATTTATTATTATTATAAGTTTTTAACCTTTTTTATTTTTCACGAATATTATATCTTTTTTAAACTTTGTTTTTTTTATAATATGATTTGAGATCCAATATTTATAAGGCTTATAATAATTTAATTTATTTGATATATGAAAAGGTTTTTGAAAGATTTTATTATATACAATATATTAAAAAATATTATTACCGTAATTTAAAAATTTAATATATATAATTAAAATCGTATTTAAATACAGTGTATATAGTATAATAATATGATTTCATTTATACACTCTGTTTCATTCAAGTATTATTATTAATTATTTTAATTTTTAATTTAAAATAGAAAGTATAAGTATACATTATCACGTTTAATGATATACAGTATATAATCGGATCTATTTTAGAGTACATGACAGTAACTCAATGAATAAAGACAGTCAATAATTTTCATGGTTTTATGGTTGTCGGTCTTTTTTTTGCATATGAAACAAATAGAAAGTCACCAAGTGTTTTGACAAAACGTATGTATGCGCGTGTACTTGTCGAAAGTGTAGGTATATATGCCACGTGACCAACGAATTTAGAACACTCCACTGGTAAAGACGATAATAACAAAGGCATTCTGTTTTAGGGTTATCATTGTCTCGTACGTACATACGTACTAGGAAGTAAAATAATGTATATATGCATGATACAATCCTGTATGCGAAGATGTCGGAATGTAAACTAAAATTTCCGTGGTAGGAAGACAGGTTAGTCGCCAACAAAATTAAATGTGTAATAAATTTCTTATTTTTTTTTCGCAAATCAATGTTAATTCTCTATCTCAAACATTCCTTTAAAATATTTTCTAAGGGTTATTGTAATTAAGAAATATGGAAAGGAGTACTGATTTAGAGGGCAGTCCCGCACTTGCATCTGAATTAGATATCGCGGGCAATGTAAAATAGAGCATCAAATCAAACCGCGTAAAAGAAGGGCTTTAAGCTTTTCTCATTTCTCGACGCGACAACGAGGAAAGTGAAAATCACAAAGTATTATTTCACGTGAATTTACCGGGATACATAGCAGGTGTAAGTGAATCAGGTGGATTTCGGTAATATAGACGAATTGGGTGGATTTCCGGTTGTCGTCGGTAATATAGACGAATTGGGTGGATGAAAAGAACCTATTGTTAAACTTAGGCTAAAAAAACGTCAAGGAAACTATTTACACAGTATTCAAACTAACTGGGTCTCTGAGCTGATTTCAATATCAGTGGAAGAGAGGAAGAAGGTGACATGGGAATCCTGAGCAAGTTTAATCAAATAAAGATAATAAAGGGAAAGAGTCTAAGAAAGGAGGCGAAGGTGAGAGCATTTCTGGAATTGGAACGCAATGTAAAGAAAGGAAATGAAAATACAAAAGGAAAAAAGAACAGCAGAGAACCCGCTGGAGAATTTTATTATGAAAACGAAGAGATGCGAATATTAGAGGCAATCAATTTGACATCGTAGATCAAGGAGTTGAGGTTACGTTTTTGGACGTCCTGTTCCATCTTCGGAAAAGAATAATTCTACGAACCTCGAATTTATAACAGGAAAATTAGGAGAAACAAAATCCAAAGATAACCGATTTTTCTATACGTCCTCTTAGGTTATCACATCAAGAATTACATATCCGACTCATCAACCTTTCATGCCTATCATTTAAATTCCGATTTTCCTTCCAGTCAATTTCTGGAATATCTCGAAAAATATGATCTCGATCTCCTTGAAGACGCTCATAAATTCCTTCTTGGTAGCAACTCATTCACTCGTTTGCCATAATGCTCGTCATTCGTTTTCATTCGATTGGATAAAAGTTTTTAGTCTAGCTAATTCAATAGATCCGCAATATCATTTTTGTGGAACTCTTAAACAGGAACGAATTTAATTCGGAGAAAAAGAAAAAACTTTTGCAGATGCTTCCAAAGCACATTTTACCTTACATCAATGAGATCGAGAATCCGGATATTTATGCTAAAATTGCCTTGGTAAAGATTTGATTTCACGCGCATGCTTATATGGGTTCGCGTGGCTAACGCTATTATTTTTCACAGTGGTTGATCTGAATGTACGACAAAAACGGACCTCTTGCACATATGGAAGGACATAATTCGACATACAAAAGAGCGCGACGAATTGATTCGGCAACCTTTTCTCGACAAGATTCAGTCAAATATTTCCAATATCAAAATGGGTAATCTAATGAAATATTTTGAAACATTCCCAGGGACATCCAGAACGAAGTCGAAGAGACATTCCGCAATATGATCCTCAACCGTTTAGAATGCGCATATAGTGGTTGGACGAAAGAAAGTGAAAAAGATGTACTTGATGTTTTGTTGGGGTCGGGATTCAAATGGACTATCGAAAATTTTTTATTAGCAATTGAGCATATTTCCCGGTCTATAGATTCAAATTTATTAGAAATTTTCCTGTTTTTCTTGGTCATTTGTTTAAAATACAAGAAATATATCTGAAAAGATAATACAAATTTGTATTACATGGTATTCTCAAAAATTGAATAAAATTTCGGAGTCAAGAGACCCCGAAATAGTATATCAGATATTTGAAATTTTGTCTCGCCATCACGATGTCTTTCGTGACATTTTCGACGAATTGATCAGTATTGCCAAAAAGAAAGTTTTACAATATAACAAAGCTCAAATTCTCAGAACAACGACACAAATTTTGCGAATGCAGGGGACCATTCCAAGTCATTATGAGCAAGTGGTCAAAGACATCATTACAGAATATGTATCGAAACATCTTAAATAAAAGTGAGGTGACCATAGAGAAAATTATAAATTTCGTAAGGAGAGGGACGTACACACTTCAGAGGGACGCGGGTGATACTTGCACTCTAAGCTTAGCTTATCGATCACATCAAGGTGAAAAATGTAACCTGTGTTTGGGCGACCTTCATGATCTCTGAAACTTAAACACGTCGTGGCATTATACGAGTTAATAGAAGATCAAGTCGCTAACACGACTATCAGATATTTGCCCCAGGATTTGAGGATTCCTATTGAAAAGGATTTAAAAGAAGAGATCGAAAAGACATTCGACTTTGACCAAAAAATGACAAAATTCCCAGCCGAAACCTTTGCAGTTACACTTAAAAGATTTATACAAAGACTTTTGTCAGTGGAAAATAACAATTTGGGTTAACCGTTGAATATGTATTTAACCAACATGACTTTGAACCGCTGGCCAATAAATATTGAAGAACAGTTTGTGGAAGATACATTAATGATGTTGCTTATCACCAGAAATCAAGGGAAAAGAATTTCAATGTAGATAGGTTTTCCAACAAAAGATTCGCTGCAAAAAAAGACATCTCTTCCAGCAATTGTGATTATAATATCTTTTCATTCACCTCTTCGTTTGAACTTTCAGGAAGTTCTAATATTAAAACACCCTTTGACTAGGTGTAATGTGACTATTATTGGAAAAAAAAAATTATAATGAATGATATAGATAACTGTATTATAAACTACTGTATTTTAAACTACTGTATTTATGGATAAAGTGATCGACGTTGTGACATAAATTATTATTCTGTGCATGGTAACGATAATGCAATAAAAAATTACATTTTATGATTTTTTAATCTCATTCTAGGGAAACATGACTGTCAGCATACCCAACGAAATAGTCCTTGAAATACTTGGTCATTTGGTCGAGCTATTTGGGTAATTCTCGTGAACTATTCTTTCTTGCACACAATATTCAATAAAGCACGTTATTTGGATTTACTAAATTCCATGGTGATATTCGATTTTTGAAATTTTTTTCAGATTTAAAGAACTTTTTCACGTACGTTATACCTGCAAACAGTGGAATTCACTCATACACGTAATAATTAATGATCAAATCTCTCAAAAATATAATAATGGATGGAGCGTTGAGGTAAACGACCTCCTTTGTCTTCTCCTTTGTCACTTCTAAATAGAGATTATTCACAATATTTGCACAAACGATACCCTTCACAGGTTCGCGCTCATGATCTAAGGATAATGCACTATGCAGAAATGAACGCCGGAAGTCCAACCTACAATGATAAAAAACGTGCAATCTATTTTACCGAAATGAATTTAGCGATCCCCAGAAATTTGTTTGTCGACTTTCTAATTTTCCAAATGGTATGGATGGGTGATTGTAAACTCCACTTTGAGAAAATAACACTAAATATTCAAGAACTCCAAAACAAAGTAGCTAGCAAGCAATCTCCGTTAAATATTAAAGATCAACGTCAACAAAAAATAAAGTATCATAAGGTGAAATCTAGATATGGCAAAATTTTTTTCAAGATAGATGAAAAAGAAAGGAACGTTAGGATTGTTAAATGGAAGATGAATGCGAGATATGTGCTGTGTCATTTGGATATGATGAATCCGGAATTTTTGATTGATTTATATACTTAGTCAAGTATCATTTTTATTATCCGTAGTGGAAATACATTCATTATCGTGCTTTGTCGTGAATTTGTACTTTGATCCAAAGGTGCAGTTGATTTTAAAGTATTATACAAAGAACATTAAAGAGTAAACCTCTGATATCGGAAGAATCTATGGATACTTCGATTACAGACTCTGGAATACCTAAATAAATGTAAATGGTACTCGCGTTCTTGTTCATTATGTGACTGCAAGCATCGAAAACTTGATTTTCTATCGTGTATAAACAACCATCACAGTTCCCTCAACTAATCAAAATTCCAACTTTATCTAATTTGTGCGAATAAAATCAAACGACCCTTGGAGCCAAACTAACAACCTTTCCCCACTTCTTCCCTCTCAACTCTGCCCCTACCACACCGAGTATTCTAGTAGCCAAAGGTTCTAACTTATTATTCAACAGTATGCAAGCATTATCATCAAATCTGATATATCTTCCATCCGGTCGCCTGGTTTCTTTGCGTGTACGTACGATCAACGCTTTCTTTACTTCACCCTTACGAATTACCAATCCAGTGCCTGTAGATGTTTTTCCCTGAACATTAATAATAGGACGAGCCTTTTTTATTACCACGGTAATTTGATCTCCTGAACGAAATAAGTTCGTAGGTAGATGAAATACTTTAATCAATAAAATGTGAAAAATTTGACTATCTGAATAAACCGAACTAACCTATGCCTCCAAATTGACCACCGTGTGCCACACGAATACACTCGGCGAGAAGGGCACCGGAATTATCGATAACATTTAACACAGTCTTAAGTTGAATCATTATTTAATTTACAACTTAACGTAAAAAAAAAACTTAATTTACAAAAGCCGTATGCGATTTACGTTACACTGCAGAATCTTTTTCCAGTCTATACCTAGAGATGATCCGAAAATACAGAAAATTTTCGTACTAGATTCATTCATTCCTAACTGGAGACTTAATGAGATATACAATATATATATTCATTTATTTATATATTTACTTCTAATCTGAATGCATTTATTAATCTTTAATTATTATACTATAGCTAAATATTTTATTAATTATAATATTATATGCTGTATTTGTTATAATAAAATTTTTTTATATTAAAAATATCAAGTAAAAAAGAATAATTGTAAATTTATACTTTTATTAATAATATAAGAAAAATATTTTTTATTTTTTATTTTAATAATAATTTATATTATTATAAAAAAATAAATATTACAAACTTATATTTTTAGATCAAATATTAACAAAACAATAAATAGTAATTTAATAAATATAATAAAAATTGATTTTCATTTAATAAAATTTTTTATTTTTTTTTATAAAACTATAATATTATAAATAATATTAAAATTAAACTAATCATTTTATATCTTTTATCAAGAATATTTTATATAATATTCTTTATTAATATTTATTTAAATATAAATTTAAACTAAATTATAAAAAAAAATATTTTAAAAAACAAAAAATTTATATTATAATTTACAAAATAAGTAAATTTTTATAATATATTATATATTATTTTAAATTTAAATAAAAAATTATCAAATCTATTCATTATAATAATCTTTTATTAGAATTTTTAAAATTTTTGAATTAATAATTTATAAATTAAAAATAATATCAAATAATATTAAAGGATTTTTAAAAATTATTAAAATTTATATAATTTATAAAAAAATTTCTTGGTTTTAAAAATTTTCAATTATATTTATGATTTATATAGTTTAAAATTATTAAAAATCTAGTAAAAATATATAAAATATATAAAATAACAAATATTATAATTTAATTACTTTGATCTATGAGTCCATAACTCAGTGGTTAAAGTGCCATAGGTCTGTATCACAAGTTACAGGTTCAAATCCATTAGGGGGCTAATGTGATTCCCTGAAAAACCACGTGGGAATCTGTATGCCATCGGCTTAACCGTATAATAACCGATGCTTCCAATTATAGAAAAACTGGTTTATAAAAGGATTGTAATACAATCGAATATCTGAAATCGACTAGGATTATTCCTGACACGATCATGTTGCCATAAAAAAGATAATAAGAAGAGTAGATTCCAAACCGGTAGAGTGCCTCTGAGGAATTCCTAACGGCTGCGTTGAAAGATATCAATCAAGCATTTGGCTGTGCTGTATTTTCACAGACTTTACTATTGGGAGGCCTTGGTGGGAGGTGAAAACCGCGGACCACTCCAAAGGACCGAAAACCAAGGTTTAGGATATTGTAATCGACGGCCTGATAACCAGAATACTCTTAATAAAATTGTTCTGGAAAAAATTAAAACGGATTCGCGTATCTTTCCGAAAACAGAATGGCGTAGTGAACCATTCAGATTTAAGTAGTAGTTATACATAACATTAAGTTAGATGATATATAGCTAGTTATATATAGATAAGTTAACTATAAACATATATGTATAATACTTGTTAGGTATATGTGGCAATGCCTTAAAAAGTTTAATAGAGATTAGCTAGCAAATTAGCCTAGACGTAGTATTTGTGTATTGATACTACTGTAATATCTCATGTACTGAAAGCATATATTTCAATAAAAAATGTAGTATCTAGTCACAAGTATAAATGGACAGATATACATAGGCAAAAGAACAACAAAACATCGACCAAACAATAACCATATCACAGCAATACACTTTATCCAAATAGCAGGAGACTCACCTATCAAAAAATGCACAGGATGCAACTTAAATACACAAGGTAACAAAACAGGATGCTCCAGAAAACTAGCAGCAAATGAATGCATTCCTCTACCAGCCAAGAAAACAAACAACAGTTCCAAAATCCACAGCTACATAACAGGTCAACTAATGCGCATACAGCAATCCTCAACTCAATACACAACAATCTTACATACATTAGAGAAATCAACAAATAACAAACAGACCCCTTACCAACAATAACAATAAATGAACAACACAAGCAGCAGTCTTATTACAACAAATCAATCAGAAGAAAAAAAGATCAAAAAAATAAAGAGGCTTACAGAACAATGGAGTGATATCAATATGTATACAGACAGCTCTATGGATTCAACAGATGACAACAATGTGAAAATAGGTATAGGTATCATTATACAAAACAGAAACACAAGACAAGAAACAACATTTAATGCCAGATGTGAACAATTTCCATCTTCCATAAAAGTAGAATTGATGGCAATCCTCATAGTATTTGAACTCATCCCAATAATAGCCAATATCAACATCTATACAGACAGCAGCAATACTATACACACAATAACAAACAGTAAAAACAAAATAATACAAATAAAACAACCAAATCACCTCATAGTGGCACAAATCCAGTTACAGATCAATAAGAGAATAGGCAACACAACCATCACCAAAGTCAAGGCACACAACAATGACATCATGAATGATAAAGCAGATCAAGAAGCAAAAAAGGGAAAAGCAGCCAATACATTATATACCTCAAAGATTTTATAGCAACCAATATAACAACAATGCAATGGAAAGAATTTACACTAGACACAGATATCTCTAGGTTTATCAAGAACATCACCAATGCAAAGTGGATAGTTAAATGGTGCATACAAAACAGACACATACAATGGCTAGACAAAAAAGAAAAAGACTTAATATCATAGTGAGAAACATAGGAGAACCAGCATTCAACAAAGATTACTGTAGACATCACATCATAAAAAGAACACAATACAAGAGCTTTTAAATATAAGCTTCTTAACAATGAGTTACCAATCAAAAACAATTTATACAAACACAACCCATATACATACAAAACAAACCATTGTCACAGATGCAACCAAATTGAAGACAACACTTACTATTTCACAGAACACAGTGAAGAAAATATATATAACGAATTTATATCAATAGCATCATAAGAAATCAGCTCAAGATCACAAGGAAAGCAACCAGAGAAACTAGAAACACAGCTTAGGAAAGCATTACCACCAAACAAAAGCAATATCGAA